TCTGAATGTTTGGTAGAATTCTCCAGTGAAGCCATCTGGGCCAGGGCTTTTTTTGGTTGGGAGTTTTTTTTTATTACTTTTTCAGTCTCTTCTCTTGTTATGGGTCTGTTCAGATTTTCAACATCACTTTGTGTTAGTTTGGGTAGGTAGTGTGTTTCTAGGAATTTGTCCAGTTCCTCTAGGTTTTCAAATTTGTTGGTGTATAGTTTCTCATAATACCCTGTTATGATCCTTTTTATTTCAATTGTGTCTGTTATAATGTCCTCCATTTCACTTCTTATTTAAGTTGTTTACATCCTTTCCTGTTTTTCTTTTTTCAGTTTGCCCAGTGGTTTGTCGATTTTGTTGTTCCTTTCAAAGAACCAGCTTTCAGTTTTGTTGATTCTGTTTTTTTTCTAGTCTCTATTTCATTTTTTTCTGCTCTGATCTTTATTATTTCCCTTCTTCTGGTGGCTGTGGGCTTTTTTTGCTGTTATCTTTCTATTTGTTTGTGTTGTATAGTTAATGTTTTGATTTTGTCCCTTGCTTCTTTTTAGCTGTGTGCATTTATTGCTATAAATTGTCCTCCGAGGACTGCCTTTACTGTGTCCCAAATGTTTTGGTATGATGTGTTTTCATTCTCGTTTGATTCTAGGAATTTTTTGATTCCATCTCTGATTTCTTCTATTACCCAGTGGTTTTTAAGCAGGGTGTTATTCAGTTTCCATGTATTTGATTTTTTTTTTTCCTTGCTCTTCCTGTTGTTAATTTCTACCTTGATGACATTGTGGTCATAGAAGATACTTTGTATTATCTCAGAGTTTTGGATTTTGTTGAGGGTTGCTCTGTGGCCTAAGATGTGGTCTATTCTGCAGAACATTCCATGTGTATTGGCAAAGAATGTGTACTTTGCAGCTTTTGGGTGGAGTGTTCTATATATGTCTATGAGGTCAAGTTGGCTGCTCGTGCCCTTTAGATCTTCTGTATTTTTGTTGAATTTCTTTCTAGATGTTCTGTCCCTTACTGAGAGTGGTGTGTTGAAGTCTCCTACTATTATTGTGGAACTGCGAATTTCTCTTTTCAGTGCTGTTAGAGTTTGTTTTATGTATTTTGGAGCCCTGTCATTGGGTGCATAGATGTTTATTATGGTTATGTCTTCATGATGGATTGTCCCTTTAATCATGATATAGTGCCCTTCTTTGTCTTCTATGGTGGATTTTGTTTTAAAATCTATTTTATCTGAGATTAGAATTGCCACTCCTGCTCTTTTTTGGTAGCTGTTTGCTTGATATATTTTTTTTCCATCCGTTGATTTTTAATAAATTTATGTCTTTGTTTCTAAGGTGTGTCTCTTGTAAACAGCTATTGATGGATCCTTTTTTAAATCCATTTTGTCACTCTCTGTCTCTTTATGGGTGCATTTAGGCCATTTACATTCAGTGTAATTATTGATAGGTATGAGTTTATTGCTGTCATTTTGTAGTGCTTTTTTTTTTGTGGTACTGACATTTCTTTGTTCCTCTTACTCTCCTGTGCTGAATTCCTTCTGTTTGTGGATTTTTTTCATTTCTTTAGTTTTTGTAGATTTTGTTTTTACTGACAATTTATGTTTATCTTCTCTATTTTGATGAGTAGTTTTGTTAACTCTCTTTGTGGTTACCTTGAAATTTACCCTTATCTTCCTAGGTTTGAACCAGTCTATTATTACTTGGTATTGCCTTGCCTTCCTCTCCATTAGAAGATTCTATACTTACACCATTTGTTCCCTCTTTTATTGTTCTGATGTTGTGATCATTTACAGATTAACCTCTGTGGTTCCCTGTTGTAATTCTTTTGGTTTTGGATAGTCCTTGAGAGTTTATTTCCTAGGTTGGTATCTGGCTGGTAAAATCTTGCATCTTAGATTCAGCCTGTTGTCTGTTGTTGTTTGTTCTCAGACCAAAGGACTCCCTTTAATAATTCTTGTAAGTTTGGTTTGGTTTTTACCTACTCCATTAATTTCTGTTTTTGTGGAAGTGCTGGGAGCTCCGTGAAGCTGCTTTCCCAAACTCCCTGTTCTCCAGTCTTCAATAGGAGTCCAAGATGGTAAATCCGTGCTGTGTTAGCTGATAGGGGACCTCCGCTCATAACTCTCTGTGCTCTCTGTTCTCTGTCAGTTTCTGATTCCATTCGGTGCGTGACTGAGTTCTTTATCTCTTCATTTGATGCTCAGAGTTCCAAGATTGACATTTTCTCTGTTTGACTCAGTTTTTCAGGTCTTTGCTCTGGAGGGATGGTGTGGTACTTCTGTCTGTAGTGCCATGTTGCCCAGATGTCCTCTCCCTCATCTTTTGCTTCCCTTTTTCATTTACCCTCCCCTGTCTGTTGTGAAGTCTGGCCCCTGGCCAGAGCGTGTGTTTCCCAAGTCCCTGCAAAGCCTGACTGAAGTGAAATTGGTAGATTTCCAAGTGGAGGGAGCTAATAAAGAGTCTGCAGGTTCCTAAAACGATAGGCAGTTTATGAAGTATTTTTTAATGAATTAAATAGATTATTTATCTCACCAAATATTAATACATACTCCAAAATGAGCTAAGACTTTTGGTTGTTGCTGTTATTCTGCGATATATTTCAGTGATAAAATAGTAATTTCAATTGAACAAAATTTTATTTGAATGCCTATCATATGCAAGGCATAGTGTTAGTGAACCAGTAAAATTAAATGTAAAGTTTTTTCTTCTTCATGTAATTCAAGAAACTAGCCATCATACAGACGAGTTAGTTGTGTGGTTATTTGCATTATGAAACATCAAATCATAAAATGAATTATATTCAATCAATTCTTGATTATCAGTATACACATATTATCTGTGGTACAATTTCTTTTTCTGATCTGGTACCCTGTCTCCAGTCATGGTCCTAACCCTGGGAACGGGTTTCCTGCCATCTCCCCAAGTCTGCAGTGGTTGATTAGACTGACCCTGCTCTCTCAAGCCACAACATTTCAAAAGTTGGATGAATTATCTGCCATTTAAAATATATTTTCCTATGTATTTTTACTGTTATTACAATGCCTAATTGATATAACCTTTAATTATTTTTCATGATATTTCATTGTCAAATTTGATGACTATATATGATTTATTTTCTCCTGGTATTTACTACATTATATTAAATATTTATTTACTTGCATTAATTTAATCATTATTTAGGAAATTCCTAATCCTTGAATACCTAGAAAAGTAAAAAATTATTTGAATAAGAAAAGGTCTTACATAAATGGTTAATGTTTGTTTGATGAATTTTAAATATCTGGGGGAAAATACACTTAACTTTTAATTGTTATGTTTGTCTAAGTAAACACAATTTTAGGGATGGAAATAAAGTGAAAATGATATTGTCATGCATTTAGTACGGCTGTTTAATTTGCATGTAATTTTCTTCAACCATTTCTAAGTAATTATTATTACCTGTTATTACTATTTCATTTGTGTCCACCTATACATGAGTTGGAGCCCTGGTGGTGTAGTGGTTAAGAGCTCACCTGCTAACCAAAAGGTCGGCAGTTTGAATCCACCAACTGCTCCTTGGAAACCCTATGGTGCAGTTCTACTCTGTCTCATAAGGTTGCTATGAGTCAGACCATGGTTTGGTTTGGTTTTATAAATGAGTTAGGAAAAAATTATAATTTAAATATAGTTACTGCTACTAATTTGTTTAGCTAGTTGTTTTGAAAGTAACTCTTCGCTGAAATTCAGATATTCCCCCATCCCCTCTGTAATTTTTCACACATTGAGTATCTTGAATATTTTTGGAAAACGTAGAAAATGGGATAAATCTAGCATTGAATTCTGATATTCACTTTAGCTTTTCTTTCTTTTCAGATGCTACATGAAGTTATGTGGAAATGGAGAGATTCACAAAACCCCGCCTCCAGAAGAGAATGTCTTTCATAAATGGAGAATTGCTTCTGGTTTTCCCAGGACATTGATATTGTGGCAGAGCCACAGCTGCCCTTCATGCTATTTTCAATGATTCACAGTCCATCTGAACAGTGATGCTTACCTTGGACTTAACAGATTTTCAACCTAATACCTTCTTTGTTTCTTTGGAGTAGAAAAGCTTGCATTAATTGCCCTCCATGGTGGCCAATCTTTTCAAGAGCCTGATTTTACCTTACATACATAAGTTTTGCAAAGGAATGTTTACAAAGAAACTGGGAAATTCAACCAAAAAAAGAGAGAATCATCAGCAGAAAAAGGATCAAGATTTTCCTGCTGGTGGCCAGACCAAACCCCCCAAATTTTCAAATACCTTGAAAAGCACCGTAAAGAAGATTGCGAAGTGTTCTGCTCGCAACTTATCCGCTGAAGAAGACGAGGTTAATAGAGAGTTTTCCCTCTCACCAACTTTCAGTTACAGAGTGGCTATTGCCAATGGCCTACAAAAGAATATTAATGTAACCAAAAGTGATAATGAGGATCTGCTTCAAGAGCTATCTTCAGTTGAGAGTTCCTACACAGAATCATTAAGTGAACTAAGAAGTAGTACCGAAAACCAGGCACAGTCAACACACAAGATGCCAGTTAGACGCAATAGAAAGAGTTCAAGCAGCCTTGCACCCTCTGAGGGCAGCTCTGATGGGGAGCGTACTTTGCATAGCTTAAAACTAGGAGCTTTACGCAAACTGAGAAAATGGAAGAAGAGTCAAGAGTGTGTCTCCTCAGATTCAGAGTTGAGCACAATGAAGAAAACCTGGGGAATAAGAAGTAAATCTTTGGACAGAACTGCACGAAACCCAAAAGCGAATGCCCTTGAGCCAGGATTTAGTTCCTCTGGCTGCCTTAGCCAAACACATGACGTCATGGAAATGATCTTTAAGGAACTTCAGGGAATAAGTCAGATTGAAACCGAACTTTCTGAACTACGAGGGCACGTCAATGCTCTCAAGCACTCCATCGATGAGATCTCCAGCAGCGTGGAGGTTGTACAAAATGAAATTGAACAGCTGCGTACAGGGTTTGTCCAGTCTCGGAGGGAAACCAGAGACATCCATGATTATATTAAGCACTTAGGTCATATGGGTAGCAAGGCAAGCCTGAGATTTTTAAATGTGCCTGAAGAAAGATTTGAATATGTTGAAAGTGTGGTGTACCAAATTCTGATAGATAAAATGGGGTTTTCAGATGCACCAAATGCTATTAAAATTGAATTTGCTCAGAGGATAGGACAGCAAAGGGACTGTCCAAATGCAAAGCCTCGACCCATACTTGTATATTTTGAAACTCCTCAGCAAAGGGATTTTGTCTTAAAAAAATCATATAAACTCAAAGGAACAGGCATTGGAATTTCAACAGATATTCTCACTCATGACATCAGAGAAAGAAAAGAGAGAGGGATACCATCCTCTCAGACGTATGAGAGCATGGATATAAAGCTGTCTACTCCAGAGCCCAAAATCAAGAACAATTGGCAGTCGCCTGATGACAGCGATGGAGAGCTGGAATCTGACCTCAATAGAAACACTTACGCTGTGCTTTCCAAGTCAGAGTTTCAAACAAAAGGAAGTACTTCCAAGTCAAGCTCAAAGTCTCACAATTCTAGATCCAAGAATAAAACTACTAATGGTGGCAAAATTAAAAATAAATCAGATTATGATAAAATTTCCTCACAATTGCCACAATTGAATAACTTAGAAAAGCAAACCACAACCCATTATGCAGAGGCAGCACCCCTCTGGCATTCCCAGAGTGATTTTTTCACTGCTAAACTTAGTCACTCTGAATCAGATTTTTCCAAATTATGTCAGTCTTACTCAGAGGATTTTTCAGAAAGTCAGTTTTTCATTAGAACTAATGGAAGCTCCCTCCTGTCATCTTCAGACAGAGAACTTTGGCAGAGGAAACAGGAGGGCACACATAATTTGTATGACAGTCCCCAGGACCAGAGTTTGAATGGGGGTGCTCAGGGTATCCAAGAACAGAATGAAATTGAGAACACAGAAACTGCGGATAGTGGAATGAGTAATGGCATGGTATGTGCCTCTGCAGACCAGAGTCATTACAGTGATTCGCAGCTCTCTTTACATGAGGATTTTTCCCCATGGAAGGAATGGAATCAAGCAGAGCAGGGAGGTGATTTAGGCTTGGATTTGTCCACTCAGGAAGCTTTCAACTACGACACAAACAGTCTATCTGACCAACAGCTGGATGTTTACAATAAAGACCTAGATGACTTGGGAAAGTGCCACAGTGACCTTCAAGATGACTCTGAAAGCTATGATTTAACTCAGGATGACAATTCATCTCCATGTCCTGGACTGGATAATGAAACACAAGGTCAGTGGGTTGGTCCATATGATCCTTATCAGAAAACTAATTCTAATGAACTGTACCAAAATCAAAACCAGTTGTCCATGATGTATCGAAGTCAAAGTGAATTGCAAAGTGATGATTCAGAGGATGCCCCACCCAAATCTTGGCATAGTCGATTAAGCATTGACCTTTCTGATAAGACTTTCAGCTTCCCAAAATTTGGATCTACATTGCAGAGGGCTAAATCAGCCTTGGAAGTGGTATGGAACAAAAGTACACAGAGTCTCAGTGGGTATGAGGACAGTGGCTCCTCTTTAATGGGGAGATTTCGGACATTATCCCAATCAACTGCAAATGAATCAAGTACCACCCTTGACTCTGATGTCTACACGGAACCCTATTACTACAAAGCAGAGGAGGAGGAGGACTATAGTGAACCAGTGGCTGACAATGAAACAGATTATGTTGAAGTCATGGAACAAGTCCTGGCTAAATTAGAAAACAGGACTAGTATTACTGAAACAGATGAACAAATGCAAGGATACTATCACCTTTCATATGAAACTCCTTATGAAACCCCACAAGATGAGGTTTATGATGGCCAACCAGATGTTGTGATTAGTGAAGGGGGATTGAAGCCATTAAATGAAACATCAGTTGAAATGGAAGTAAGAGAAGACGAAAACCAAAACATTCCTGAAGAGCAAGTGAAAATCACAAAGCCAAAGCAAATTCACCCTTCATTTAAAGAAGCAGCTTTAAAAGCCTATCAGAAGCAAATGGCAGAGTTGGAAGAGAAGATCCTGGCTGGAGGTACTCATGTTTAAATACTACATTATAAGCTACTTGTGTTTTACCATTGAATGAAGTTTCTTTAGAGCATGTTCTGTTTTTACTCTTAGCAGAAATAACTTACTTGCAATGATTTTGAATGCTTATTCTAGAAAGGATTTTTACTATACTCAAACAGTTCCCTCAACACGTTGGGCTTGATGATTTAAAATTAAAGCATGTTTCAAGTGGTTACATTAAAATGAGACCTAACTTTCCCCTACACACTGTAGATCAAGATCTCTGCTAGGTTTAGGCACAAAGCCCATATCGTGTTAACCAACAACTCTGTGACATCAAATATTAGTCAAAGAAAGGATGAGTGAAATCAAAGAGCAGCCCCTTAAGTCAGCAGCCTGAGGTCTACTCCTTGGTTTTATTAGGTTTACAAGGATGGTGAGAATTTTTTAATCTTAAAAAATTTGGAAAGATGTCCTCTTAGACTTACTACTCCCTCTTTCATCAAATCTACACGTTGGGGCCTAGCCAGTATGAAGATCTGGGTCTGCACAGCCAACTCTAGCCAGTCTTACTGAGGACCATGACCTCCCTTACCACATGCTGATGCAGCTGAGAGAGAACAGGGGAGCCAAGAGCCCAGGCCAGGCATAAATCTGACCTTTAATCCAACAGGCTAATCAGGAGGAGTCAGTAGGGGAGTAGAGCTGAGAAGTTTCCTCCTACAGAGTAGAGTGGAAATCCTCTCCCATTATGCAAATGAGAAGAGTACCTTACCTAATAATTTTACTTAATTTCTGGAAGAAGAATTTTAGATCCTACACTTTTGAAAAGCAGTTACATGTAAATCTTTCATCTATTCACCCATCTTGAGCTGCACGATCCCAAACTGCTACCATTTTGCATGCTTATCACTTTATATCTTCTAGTTTGTTATATATTTTAATGAATTATATATTGTTAATATTTGCCCTGATTATGGCATTGTAATCTTTAATTCAAATTTTCACTCCACCTTATATTACATAAAGGTATATATTTATGTGATCAAGTGTTACTTGCTTTATTATGAAATTATTATTATGAATAATATGAAATATTATGAAAATATTATGATGGATAAATTATTGAATGATCAGATACCTTGTTGTAAACTGTTTCAAGCCCTGAGACATTTGAAACAACAATTAGAGTTCTCTGTTCTGAAGACCTATCTCTAGAAAACAACGTGGTCTAATGTAATTCACTTAAAGAACAACGGAAGTCACGGGAATCATGGGCATTGGCTGTGATTTTTTGTAATTTGTTTTTGAGGGATTGTTCTCAAGTATATTTAAAACTGATTTGAAAGTGCAAAGGAGTCAAATGCTATGTAAATATATTTAATGTTGGGATAATGTCTATCTCATTCAGAGCAACTTCTGGTAGTTACATGTCCTTATTATTGAAACTCAGCTGATAAGTTTTTGGGACACAGGGCAGCAGTTTGGCTTTGTATTGTATTCGCTGTAGGTTCAGAGAAGTCTACTCAAACGTGAACTAAGAGGAAGCATTGTGTGTGTGTATGTATGTGTGTGTGTATGTATATGTGTGTGTCTATTATGATGTAATAGATGAGTGTTTTAATGCCAGTTGGTGAAGGCATCTGTTTGAAGTGTTAACACAATCTCATAAACAAAGATAAGGCTACCAGTTTCCGAGAAAAAAAAAAGATCTTCATCAACTTTTAAAAAATTCAAACTCAGCAAACCTCTACAAAGTAGACTTTTATAGCAAATGCCCCTTCAAATAGCTTACAAACCTAGTCAACTAATGGCACTTACTTTTGGAAAATACAAATGCACTTGGTTATCCGTACACTACCCACTTAAAAATTCTACAACAGATAAAACAATATTGTGCCATATAACTGACACACAGGCCTGGCTGTGGAGGACTCACTCCACAATCTTGGCGTTTGGCTTGTTATCCTGTGAGCCAGCTTTGAATGGAATCTGTTGAATATCGCCTATCCCAGAGGAAATCAGCACACACTTCTTTAAGATGAACTCTGGTTGCTGAAAGGTACCAGACTGACTACTCAGGAGGCTGAAGTAGCCTAGTTTTAAAAGGCCATCTCTATTCCCCTTCGCAGCAGCTAGGCAGTTTTCCTCACTCTGTGCCAGCAATATGCCTCAGGAGGAAGGGCAGCCAAAGAAGGGCATTTTCCAGGCCCCTTTCCTGCTTGGAGCATCCCAGTGAGGTGCCAATTGTCATGATTATTTTTGTGCCCATGGCCATCTGCTTATTGGGCTTTGGGCAGATGCCAACCATTTTCCTCTGCGTGGCTCCAGTCAGGATTAGGTAGCAGTGTTGTCTTTTTCCTATTACCACCCTGGCCAGATTGGACCGTAGCGCTCTTGCTGTAAAACCCTGTGGGATGCTGTTCCCCTGATATAGCTTTGTAGAAACATAGGCTTATGAATTTAAGTTACTTATTTGAACGCTCTCATTTTCAGGGTTCTAGGAAAGAGGGATTTTTAAAATCCCAATGTTTATATACATGGATATTGTGGTGGTAGTGTTTCTGATAAACTTCACTAGTATGCTAGTGGGGAAAGAGAGCTTAGAGTGTGTGTAGCCAGAAACGTACTCATGAGGTCAAATTCTTTCCTTATTGCTGAATCCTGCTGAATGGTATCCTTTGTGTAGCTGGCCCAAACCCCACACCATGGTGGTGCCTGTCTACTGTCCCACATGTAGTCTTTCACTGCCTGTCAACTGGGATTAACTGTTGTCTTCTCGGAACTCCCATCTGCATACCTCTTTTTGTCACTTACCACTGGCTTCCACCTTATATAATACCAACTTTTCTCTTCTAAACTGTAATCTAGAGGCAAGAGTTCTTGTCTTTTTCATTCTTTCAGTTTTCACTGTGCCTAGATCAGTGCTTTTATACAGATACGGCACTGAGCTAATAATAATTGTTGGATGACTGACTGAATCAAAGGAGGCAGAATACTAAATAAAAAGCACAAGCTTTGTAGTCTAATAGATATTCAAACTGTGGCCTTTAATTGATAAGCCTCTGACTGTGTTTCCTGAGAGCTCAGAGCATGGTTAGAAAGGAAAGCTGACATTTACGGAGCACTACTATACATCATGCACTTTCCTGGGATGTATGTGTTATATGTTTTCATTCTTTTACATCTTACAACACCACTATAAACTTGGTTCATTATTATCCCGTTTTACAGATGAGGAAACTGAGATGCTGAGAACTTAAGTAACGTACTCAATGTCACACAACTAGCAAGTGGTTGATACAGAATTAAATGGATGGTTATTTTAGTTATTTAGAGCAGTCATATGCTTACTCACCTCAAAGTTTGTTTTATTCATGTTTTAAATTGGGAAAAAAAAAAAGATTAAAGATGGAGGACAGAGTCAGCCACTAGGTATATTCCAGCTAAAGGATTTTCATGAGAAACCAGTGACAATATAAAAGGTACTATTTTCTGACATGTTGAGGTTTTGACATGAAATAGTTCATTCTCAGTTTTTCAACTTCAAATCCTTATATCATCTTATAAATCAAGGCTTGAAAAGCCCAATAAATACTGTACTATAACCGCTTCTTGGAGGATGCAGTATTTAAATCTGGGTACACTCTACCTGGAATTAGAGCTTAAAGGCTGTTTGAAGTAAATTTTTCTGGTAGAAGAGCAAGAGTCTTGATGTGTTTTGAAATGTCATTCGCAGGGTGTCTGTAGATTCTGAAATAGGGTGTGACATTAGTAGTTAAGCATAATTATTACTAGTTTTTTTTTTATCATGGTATGCATTTTATTTTCTGAATGGCTATAGAGCTTTGTTGGAATTTTTTGACTCCCAAATAAGCATGTGAAACTGAATATATAAACACTTTCCTGAGGTTGATAATTTACTATGTTAGGTCAGCGTTTCCCAATCTGGCCAGTCATCGGCATCATCTGGGGAAGGCTCATTATTGTTGTTATTGTTCCTGGGTGTTATTTTAAAACTGCCGATTATTGGGATCCTATAACTGAAAATTTTGATTGGATGGGCCTATAAAAGCGCCCAGAAATATGTATTCAAAATTTATTTGTTATTGATGCCTTTTGAATAAAACAACCACCACCATGCATACGCATAGATGAAAACACAATAAAACAAAATCCCCCAAGTTTGAAAGTGAAACGTAAAATAGCTCCTCTCATTTTTCAGAGAGAGGTAAGAAGTTTTAGACACACATACACCTCTTTTCTTCTTTTTCTAACATAATGTTATTATACTGTTATATATTCATGTTCTGCACCTTGTTTTTTTCGTGTAATGTATACCTGAACTTTCTTTTCATTGTCGTACCTACCTCATTCTTTTGAATAACACAAAGCTTCCTACTACATAGTTGCTCTATAATTTATTTGACCAGTCCCCTATTAATGGGCATTTAAGTTGCTTACAAACTCACAAACAGTGCAGCACCATCATCTATATTTGGGCAAACGAGATAATATGTGTGTAGGATATGTTCTTAGATGTGGCACTACTGGGTCAAAGGATTTACTTCTGCTTAGAGGAGCTGGTGATTTATGAACTCTAGGTTAATTCCAGTACTTCATTCTCATAGCACCTACCACAGTTACAGTTTTACACTTAGGCATGTGATTATTTGATTATCGTAGGTCTCTTCTATTAGACAGAATTGAAAAGTCAGGGAGTGATTTTGTTCTTTCCATTGCTGTCGTAGTGTCAGAGCCTGGCCCACTGTCTGGGACCCAGTAAATGCTCAGTAAATATTTGTTGACTAGATTAATAAATGCTGGCCTCCTCTGTAACTTGTTGGCTACGTAGTTCCATCTAAACTGGAGGATTCTGAAATTCAGATAGCTTTCATTTTCTTTCTTTCAACCAAAAGGGCATATTTTGAATATGTATTTTAATACAGTAAAATAACTTAATTTGGTTTTAACTAGGGAAAGCACAATTGAGAGAAAACATGACTTCTTTTGGCTCGTTTA